ACGAGTAAGCAGATCTTCTTGATCTTGTCACCACACAGATCTTTTAAGGATCTTTTAGATTCTAGCATTGGAAACTTGACTACTATCAAATCTGACTTCGGATCCGTAACCAGATCAAGTGTATAAGCGCCTACACTTGATCCGTCATTCACCAAGACACTTACTGTCTTGGTGCTCTCCTGGTAAAACACATCCGCAGGTGATTGGGGAAACAAACCCTCAACATAGCTCTCTCTAGATTTATCACTCTCAGGAACGCTGGAACTTTCTCCGTTACGTGTACTGACTGTAAGTGCACTGCCACAATCAGGACCTCTTAGATCATCTCTCTTTTAGTCGATCTTTTTTGTTTTGCAATCGACTCTCTGTTAGTAGATCTCGCTTCAACGTGTTTAAATTCTAAACATCACTTGTCTCTCTTCTTGGATGCACCCTTTTTGGTGTGCACCCATGTTCCACTCCACTCGATCTCTCCGAGTGGAGAATCCTCGGCGCAGCCTGTGTTTTACAAATTTGCAGGAAGCTGGTTTAACAGTATGGTGTTCTTCTACACTGTGACCTTGTGCAGTCGTACTAATGACCGTACCACAAGTGAGGCCATCGCACTCACTCGTAGTACATTTACACGCTTGTGGACACTCCAAGACATTTTTACAGAATTTCATCTGATGAAAAAATGGCAGGCATCTTCACAAATCGGTGTTACCAACCGATTCATGACTCGAATCTTTTGAGCCATGGCAGACCGAGGGTGACATCAAATTTATCATACAAATCCAGTACGATGAAGTCATCATCGTACTCCTTTTTTTTAGCGTGTAGTGGATCCCCACTACACGTTTGTTCACTGTTACGGATGCGCCTGTTGAAAAGCAGACCGTTATCCTCGTTGGAGGGAACTCTCGCTTAAAATAGTTGAATCTACTATCTTTAAGCGACTGGCTTCGAATAAAACTGTTCGACGCCCCACAGTCAACTAGGGTGCGAAGTGACATTCCACTTGTCACTTCGATCTTCAAAGTGATGAGAGTATCCTCATCACTAGGGGCAGTAACACACAGAGACTGCGTGTTGGGAGCAATCTGCGTCGAGATTCCTACAAATTCTCTCGACGTTGCTGGATCAGCAGGGTGCTCCGCCCCTGCTGACCCTGACCGTTTTTTGACGGTCCGACTTGCTGTAGCGGCTTGGCGACATGGTTGGACCCTCGCATTGGACCTTTCCTTGGCCAACGGTGGTCATCGCGTCCTGTCTTTGGATGTGATGCAGTGCTTGGGACACTACACTCATGAGCGTAGTATCCGATCTTCTGGAAGCGATGGCATCCTGCCGATCGCTTGTGGATCAGAGAGCGAGAGTTCTCGATTGATGTAACAAAGGTCCTATAGTTCAGGACCTCCGATTTCCTGTTTCCTCTTTACCTGGTCGGACGATAGTTTGAAGAGTTAGCCTGAGACTGTCTTAGGCTAAGTCTACTTGTTCCGCGTACGCTATCGCTTTTTCTAGAGTATGGAAGTCCTCTCGGAACATGTAGGTCTTGACCGGCCCATCTATAAAGCCGAAGATGAATACCTTGATGAGCGTGTGCTCATCAGCAGGGTTTTTCGTGACGCTACTCGCAAGGTAGCGTAGGTGTTGTGCGTAAGCATGCACATCACGCTTACCTTGCTTAATCCTCAAGAGTGCAGAGCGTGCTCTGCACTCGGCTCTCGGCGGCTCAAACGTCTCTTTGAGCCGAGACTTCAAGATCTCCAACGACTCAAACACTTTTAGTCGTGAAGCTTGAGCCCCAAGGCCTAAGCCTTTGCTCGTCCTGTCAAATTTGACAGGGCGAAGGTGACTTGAATCTCGTCACTCTCGATATGACGGGACCTTGTGGCGTTTTCTATCTTGACGAACCATTTTAATAAGGGACTCTTCATCGGTTCCCTTATACCTTGAGATATCTATCTTCAAGGTTTCGGGTCGACGCATGTGAGTCGGCCCGCCCATCGATTTATGAGAGCCTTGCTGTTGTAGCAAGACTATCTCCTGTCGTTCGACGGCAAGTTCCTCTTGTAGGAACTTGTCGATAGCAGCAGGTTGTTTTTAGTCTCTGTTTAAATACTTTAACATGCCACTTATGGCGGGTTAGTCCATGAGCACACCCATGCGGCCGACTATCTTCCATTCTGAGTCACTCAGATGGGAGTAGCCTTCACGTGTGACGTGAAAGCTGTCGTCTTCTACGTCGAACATGTTCATGTTGAACGGATACTAAGTAGTCGTTGGACGGATAACAAAGTGCTACCGGGTGTAACGGGCGCCTTTTGTTTGGGTTGCCACGAAAATTCGCGTACACTAGTACGTGCAGAGGAAGCTAATCTACTGAGACAGCTAGTCTGTGTATAGGTAAAAAGCGAACATGATTTGATATGGTTAAGATTTTGTGGTGGAGTGGAGATCGCTCATTTCTTGAGACAATCCCGACTCTCCACTGGCGCCCGGACGACCAACTAACAGAGGGGGTAATCCGATTCCGTGTATATTGCTTTCCTCACCTTGTGTACCCGTCGGTAGGGCGGCTGCACTCTTCCAGGTAGAGTCGTGTCTAGTGAAAACTTTGCCGTGTTGGAGAAGGGTTTGTGAGATCGGGCGGAGATCTTCGCGCGATCACGCAGGTAACGATGTTAGTTACCCTGATCTCGACGATATCGCCTTGCCCACTGTGTGGGTTCTTGATACGCGAGCCTTCTGAACACTTGAGCCTTCTCGCGATATTGTACCTTGCCTTTACGTGTCTTGCTGCGTCTGATCGCAGTTGTAGTTACCTGAGAAATCTTGAACTCACCTGGCTAAACAATCCAGGTGCGACACTTGTACGGACGGTTAACGCGACTTTTCATTCGTCGGGAGGCCAAAGATCCTGCCCGGAAGAGGTTGCGTGCGTCTTATGAAGTAAATTGAATTCTCTATGATGCTAACCAATCAACCTATAACCTTCCCCTCTGCCTTATCCGTATATCCTAACCGGACGCCACGCGTCCCTTTTTAAGAAAGGCCGTCCTCTCGTATTGGTGTTGCCTACATCAGGTGTATCGGCAGTCGAATCTTCTTGTGGTCCACCAGAGATATCACCACCACTTTACCTCGGATCGTGATTCCAGGTCCGGATCGTGATCTTGGGTCGTGATCTTGGATCCGGATCGCGATCTTAGGATCGGATCGTAATTTTTAAGTCAGGATCATGATCCCAAGCCAGGATCGTGATCCCTAGGTGAGGGATCACGAATCTTCCCTTGCCTTGTCTCACGATGAATTACGAAATCCAACTGATCCAACTGTCATCTAGCCTTGTCTTAAGTGATATAGATCCTTCTTACTGGGGTTAGGTGCGCTATTGCTAGCCACCCATCGTAGTATGTGTCCACCAATTAAAACGCTTTGGACCGAGCTGAGGTGTGCGATCCGCCCGATCCCCCACTCCAACTGAACGGTAAATTTTCTTGTGATCGCTTCGCCACACTATAAATAGAATTTCAGTCTTTATCTAACTATATGAGTTGGGTAATATTGGCAGGGAATCAGCACGCTAAACAATCTCCCTACTAACACCGTTTAATGTAAATATCATGTAACGGGCTACCCCATTACACCGTCGATCGGTATGACCCCGTTAGTGGTAACCTTGACCGCTCGTCACCGTTGGACTCAACGGCCGCTCCTTACCTGTGGCCCCCAGGTCTCCGGTCTCTTTCCCGGTCGCGAGGTCCCATGTCCATCCGGCTCCTTGATCCTGAGTTCATCATTTCCGAAAACTCGCTTCACCACGGTACTTTCGTATCGCATACGCTAAGCGATAATACCGTACCCTATCGGTTGTGGGGAGAGGACATTAATCGTAATAGGGTCTTCATAGCGGCGACTTAATCTGGTGTTATACACAAAAAGAACTGCGATGAGGACTATTCGATTAGGTGGCATAGGTAAAGGTTAAAGACACAAGTAGGGTTTTATCGCTGCAACACAGTAAATCTATTCTGTCCCCTTTTGATCAGTTCCAGACACGTGTATTTCTAAGACGTCACTGGTCGTAACAGTTGAGAGCCTGAGTTTAGTCCAAGTACTATTTGGCATCAGTGCCACGTGATTCCTTGACGTCGTAGTCCTTTAGACCAGGACTAGAAGCTCAAGCGCTTGTAAATACACTAAGAGTTAGGTCTCATCAAGTCTGCAAGTTTTTTAAGACCCTTTGAGTTAATACCCGTTTAGTTTGATGCACTAAGAGATTCTACGAGTCTAGAAAACTTTCTCCGTAAAGATGTAAGGGTAGCTCTGCTATTATCTGTGTTCGGATTTTTTAAATCGCCAGTAGCATATTGTTGTTGCATCCTAAACAGACGCATTTTTTTCCTTCAATTTACACTATTTTTCTCTTTAACAACATTGTATCTATAATCTGATATCATCATTTGTATCAGTTTAAAGAGTCCAAATCATGGCTGCCACATAATGGCTATCTTTTTGCCTTTACAAAATGTCTTTTGACCAAACGGACATCATGAAACAAAAATCGCTCGCTTTGGGACAAAGACAAAGAAACAAATGGGGTATGTTTTATGTGCAAATACCTCGGAAATTGAGGTTTGGTCGTTTTACATTTCTGGGTCGTGCAAGCCCATGTCATCTTTTGTCAATCTGTCAATGTAAATGATCAAGATTTGGACAAACAAGTCACAAAGTCGATTTTCGTCCAACTAGCTACATTCCACAGGGCACAACCGAAATTCCTAAACCAGCACGGATGTCCACAGACCCTCCCAACAAAAAACTTTGGACGTTCAGCCTATTCTGCACGCAACACAATCCAATTTGCGCTTATCTCCTATTGCTTCATCCAACGTGCATGATCAACGAGATTCATTAGCTCTACGTGTGTAGTTGCCTGACCTCAAAAAAAAATTCCAAGAAGTGCGTGTCCAACTGCCTTGACCAGCAAGGCCACCAACCCACGTCAAACTCTACTTTCTCAGCTTCAGCAGCAGCGACTTGTTGCCCTTGACCTTTTTCTGTAGCTGCATGAGACCGAAGAGCAGCGCCTCGGCCGTGGGCGGACAGCCTGGCACGTAAATGTCCACAGGAACAATGCGGTCCACACCGCGTACAATAGCGTACGAGTAGTGGTAGTATCCTCCGCCGTTGGCGCAGCTGCCCATAGACACGACATAGCGTGGCTCAGGCATCTGGTCGTAGACGCGTCGAAGCGCGGGCGCCATCTTGTTGGTCAACGTGCCGGCCACAATCATCACGTCCGTCTGACGAGGCGACGCCCGAAAGACCATACCCATGCGCTCAAAGTCATAGCGAGAGCCAGCTAAACGTAGAAATCGAGTCAGTACAGTTAGAAATACCTCAAAATAGATTTATAGGATGACTAAATATGCGACTACAGAATGAATAACCTACCAGAATGCATCATTTCAACGGCACAGCAAGCCAGGCCAAAGGTCATTGGCCACAGCGAACTCTTTCGTCCCCAATTCACCAGATCATCGACGCGAGACACGACGTACTCTAATCAGTGCAGCAAAAACTCGTAAACAGAATACCTGCAAATGCATCAAAGAGACTTAACACACGTACCGACGCCGTTGCGGGCCGTGGCATTGCCCGCGAGCAAGTCCTGGATATTGCCACGGTCAGCGGGAGACGAAGAGGAGGAGGTCACGGTCGGGATTGACGAGGCGCTGCGAACCGCAGCAGACCGGGCGAGCGCGTGGGAGCGGCGAGCGAGTGTCAACATGAACGGTCGGTCGTTTTTTTAGTAATGAGAGAATGTGATTGATCAATATGCGAAGGTCTGGAAAAAAGGAATAACCCCTGCAAAGCTGGGAATATCGCAATCACCGAATATGACAGGGACATAAATCAAGATATGTACTTACTCACTCGGGTAAGTTGCCAGTCATGTGGCGAGCTTGTATTCGAGTCATGCTCACGTATGTAGCGCACGTAACTGCGTACCGCTTGGCCACATCCACATCGTCTCGTTTTGGATTCAGCTTTTACCTCCGTCTCGGGTCACGGCTCTGTCGCTTGAGGTCCGACTGGCCTTGCAGCAGTCCCGGCGACGGCATGGAGCCATCAGAAGGTCCTGGTGGGAGACTTAAAGGCCCTGCTTCACTTCCTGAGGTTGGCGGCCACGCGCTTGCAGACAGAGAGGACGTGGTAGTGCCCCCATTCCCATCATCTTCTCGAGCGCGCTTCATCCCAGCAAGAATATGCGGCGGTGGAGGTGGAGGAACCATCAGTCCTACAGCAGGTGGGGGAGGGGGCATCATGCTTCGCGGAGGGAAACCTCGAGTGGATGGCGGGAGGGGCGGAACCGGACCTGTTCCGCTTGAACCCATTGAGACGCTGGCACCGACTGGTGCCCCTTGCGGACGAATCTGGCTGAGGAGCGCATTGATAGCACCGTTGCCGTCCATCGGACAGTCCTGCTTCCAGTGACCTTTCTGACGGCATTTGTGGCAGGTATACGACGGAGGCGGCACCTTTGGCTCCGTGCAGTCCGAGATGTAGTGTCCTGGAATGCTACAACGCTTGCACAAGTATCCTTCCGGCGGAAGCCTGCGTTGCATCTGGCCGTTCGAATTCTGCTGGTCCTTCGTAGGGCAGTCCTCGATCCAATGGCCTTTGGTTCCACAGCGATTGCACGTGTACGATTCGGGAGGCGGGCGACGACTGCCATTTGCACGGCTATCTGTCGCGGTCTTGTTGAAGGTCTGGAAGTTGGCGGCGTTGATCGCGCTTGAGCGCAGGATACTAGCGCCATCCGCCATACCTGGCAGCACTTCCGCGTTGTCTACGCCTCCACGCATATGCATCATTCCTTCGCCGGTATCGTGTTCGTTCAATACGTTTTGACCGCCATTGTACTTGTCGTCCATTGGATCACCGGGTCGATTGCGGCACCAGAATTTCGTGCTGTGGTCGTTGCTGTAAACAAGTCGAGCCAATACGATGGCGAGGATATTACTTTTTGCAGCTGAAGACACAAGCAAAAACAGCAGAAGCCTAACAAAACGTACCTTCCAGTCGCGACGACGTGTCCGACAGGGTGCCACTGAATATCCCAAACAGCCGTATCGTGGGCCTGGGGAATAGAGGCCAGCGCATGGTCCTTTCTGTAAAGCACAAGACATCAGAGTTGTCCATCGACGTCAGCAGACTATGCCACTTGTGCATAATGGATACCATGCGTACCCGACTTCCCAGTACATGAGTGATCCGTCGTATGAGCCGCTAACAAAGAGACGCTCATACCACGGGTGCCACGCAATCGACGTAACTTCACGTGCATGGCCCTTCAATGTCGCAAACTCCTTAAGCATCCGAATGTCATAAATCTTGATGAGCTGGTCACGACTAGCCGTAAGGAGCCAATTCCCATTAGAATTCCAGGCGACCTTGAACACCGTATTCTTGTGTCCATGCAACGTGTTGAGACTGTTTCCCGACTTGGGATCCCAGATCTTCACCAGATTATCCTTACTTCCACTAGCCAGTAAACACTTTTGCGGGTGGTACGCGACACACTTGACATCCCACCCGTGTCCTGTCAGCACGCGTTCTTCCCGACCGCTCTCGAAGTCCCAGATCTTGACTGTCGCGTCATCCGAGCACGATACAAACTTGAAATCCGTTGGCGAGAAGCTAAGGGATCGCACAGCTTCTCGATGTCCTTGAAGCAGCTGCACATTCGTCATACTCGACTGCCAGTACTTGATCACCCCGCCGTGATCAGCCGTAACGAGCCAATTGTCGTTGTGTGACCACACCATTGCACGCACAGCATCGTCGTGAGCTTGCAAGATCGTCTCGAAGTTGAACGCCAACCCGTTCCAGAGCGTAAACTCGCCTACCGAGTTGCCTGTAATGAGGCGGCGGCCTTCGGGCGTCCACGTGAGGCAATTGACGGGGCAGCGCTGCTTGTTCGTCGAGCAGCGACAGAACTTGGTGCACACACAGGACGCCAGATCATCGTCTCCAGGGAACGCCAAGGGAGGCATCAGTTGCTTCTTGTAGAACGAATGCGGCGGCAACGCGTGCGAGCGCACGCTCTTCGCCTGTACAAAGCGGCGCTGCGTCACGTAATTCACAAACGTGGCGTTCGGATCCACGCTCTTGCGTACAATGGGCTTCCTCATGCGCTTGTGAGGTGGAACGCCCCCCGCGTAGTGGCTGGCACCGACGTCATGACCGCTCTTGAGCACCTGCGCTGGGTGTAGCTCCCCACTTTCATGCATGAGCGAGCCAATGGTAAGTCAAATGTATCCATTTACAGAGCATTTGTTGAATTTGGGTACACTCTATTGGGGACCACTTCAGGAGCGGATTGGGAAAGGCGTGACCGATATTTGAGACAAATTGATTGGATCAAATTGTCGAATGGTGAACATAATGAAAGCATGTACAAGTTGCCAGTCCTCGCTTTCGTTCAAAGGTGCGGTTGGCAATGGGGCTTTTGAGTCTTCGGCAATACCAACGAAAAGATGGCAGGTAGTTCCATCGCTGCAAGATCAGGCGACTTTATTACTCAATGACGAGCGTAGCGATGTGTCTCATCATTTTGCTGTTATAGTGTTGACACTGAAAGGATACAATGCAGCACACATACTCGACTAAAAATTGGCCACCAACTGTGCCATAATCGGTGGTGAGGGGGTGACGATGGCAGAAGTTGCCAAGCTTTCTAATGTGCAGCAAGCGTTGCAGATTCTGTATGACCTCTCTTTCGATTCATTTGGCAGAAGGAGATCGTACAGATATCCAGTTTGCACGATTCCATTCGAAATCACTTGCGTTACCACCGCGACATCAACTATGTTACCACCTCGACCTCCACAACACTTTGCGTCTCTAGTTCTGTAAAGCTGGTGGCGAGTAAACTGGTCGTGATCGTCGTTGCAGTACACAATCTGCTATCATGGCTTGCTGCTTATCGAACTTTGCCGCATGTGTACACATCCTTTGGGCTGTTAATTTCCACAAATGTTTAGCACTGGAGAGTAGTACCATAAGTTACAGAGACTTTAGGTCGTGCATCGACGACGACGTAGGCAACAAGTCTTCACCGACTGCATAGGCACGTATATTGACTTACAGCACGACGTCTTTCCAACCGGATTCAAGAGCACATAGAGGTGTCCAACCAGTCAGGTACATCAGCGCCATCGCAACGAGTTTGTCTACTTACTTCTGCACTCACGCCACAGCCGACTAAGTGGCGAGGGGAACAACACGATAGTTCGAGCCAGAAAAAGAGCGAGTACACGAACACGACGTCGTCGTGGACGGTCGCGGTATCAACTGCCTGGTCTGTATCACGCACGCTCTTTCCGGCATTGAACTTGTGTCGGTAGCCGATGGCCTTTTCAATCAACTTCAACGTCAGAAGACTATCGGATCGGCCGGGACGACCACAACACATGTCACTCGCAGCGGATACAGCAATAACGTTGTACAGTCGCGTAAAAATCCACTCAGCCACCAACATGATGACGAGACCTATGGCTGTGCGCCACCAAAATACGACAAAGCGAAAGCTCAGCAGACTGTTTCTAACGGCAACTAAGCTTTCGTCGGTCAAATGTAAAGTTAGATTGCCTTACAGCAACAACAACAAAAAAGCTCCTGTGCCATCAACATCACGCAGTGCTCGGCCCAGCCGGTCCAGCTGACTCGAAAGACGGCTATAATCGAGACTGGTGTGACCACTCACCTCACACAGCCTGTTTGTCTTCTCCCCTTCGTTTGATTCGTCGAAAATAAGACCGTGCGTGCAGTCTCTACCCACCATCTCGTAATCTCGTCAGCAGGTGGTCGTCGCGCGGACATTTCCCCGTGTGGATAAAAATAAATTACCTACCACTCGTCCGTGCTTCCAGTAATTTACCGTCTCCGTCGAAAATACACACTGTCGAAAGGCCTCGCAGCCGGAATAATACTTTTCCCGCACAGATTTGCCGTCATTTGCCATTCCTACAAACGAGAAGAAGAAGCGGAGGAAGACGCAGCGTTTAAGTCCGTCCCATTCGTGATCGAGCCACGCGCGTCGTGCCATGAAGACGCCAGCGATCGATCGAGACGTCACGGCGCCGTGCCCTGGATTCCTCCTGCACCAAACACGCGCGTCCGTGCCCATGTCCAGCAGCCAGTATCGTAAACAGCAGCTCGCCAGCAGCTCCTCGGACCGTCTGCGCAGCTTGGACGACTACCGACGACCCCATCAGCCTACAACAGCGTCCGCTTCGGCAGCTCCTGCAGCGCTGCCTCGTCGGTATCTTGGACCTCTTGAGAGCCTCCGCACGGCTCTCAGCAGCTCGAGCAATGGCAACGCAGGTGCAGCTGCTGCCGGTGGAGGCCACGAAGTGATTTTGAGCGGAGCGCTGACAAAACGCGGTCACTTTTTCAAAGCGTGGCTGCCTCGCCATTTGGTGCTGTCACGAGGAGCTCTTCAAGTGTACAGGAAGAATCCGTACGCAGGTAATGGACTGCGACGTCAGGTGAAGGACGTGGCGCAGCTGGAGAAGAAGTTGCTCAAGATGGAGGTCGATCGGACCGATGCTATTCGAGTGGAAGGCACGGACGCGTTTAAACACCACCCGTACTGCTTTGTGCTGGTCGTCCGGAAACGGACGTCGCGACGGGTCGGACTTCTGGAAAAAATGAGCAACTGCAGCAGCAATCTGAGCAGTAGCAATAACAGCAATGACGGCGTGACGAGGAACTCGGTTCCGTGTCGCCCCACGGGCGGCATTTGCTTTCAACAGCGCATCGAGAGTAATTTGCACTCGAGGCTTTGGACAGACGACGGACCTGTGGTACTGTATTATTTGCAGGCCAGCAAAGAAGCAGAGCGACAGCGGTGGATTCGGGCACTGCAGCGCTGGATAGAAGGCGAGTGCCCGACCAAGCTTGGACGTGGGATTCTCAACTACATTGTGAACAATGAGTACAGCAATTATCGCTACGGTCGGAAAGTCGTGGCAAGTGCGTCGCCATCGAGGGCAGTGGGACTTGTTGGAGACGTCGGATCGGTAAGTTGTGCGACGACGGCCTTGTCGCCAGCCTCGCAGGCTGGATGTACGGTCGAGCAGGATTTCCCCGTGCTCGCGAATTTGATTCGTGATTTTTACGACTGCAAAAGGGAGGACGAGATGATTTACATCCTGGACCAAGTGCTAGGTGAAGTGCAGGACGGAGCGAATACCGGACACATAAAGAAGCTGATTGCCACGGCGGGAAAAGTGAAATTGGAGCAGTCGGAAGTCATTTGGACGACCCACGTGAAGACGGCTTATGCTAATATCATGAAAGTGCTGCAGACGGCTCCGGTAGGTCCAGAGCCAAGTAGCCAGACACCGGCACCGCGAGCCCCCAACGGCGCGCGTCAGATTTCAGGTGGCAGCGTCGACTTGAGTGAAAGCAGCCGCTCGCTGAACACGACGGAAATGACGTCGTTTCACCGTTTTTACAAGCTTGGACGAAAGCTTGGTTCTGGCGCATTCTCGGTTGTGCATATTGCGACTCACCGCGAGACGCGGAAGCAGGTTGCCGTCAAGTGCATTGCTAAGGCGAAGATGGGTCATCTGGACGTGCACTCGTTGAATCAGGAGGTGGAGGTGCTGTCGAGTCTCAACCACCCGAACATTGTGCCGTTGTTGGACTATTTTGAGGAAGACCGATACTACTATATCGTGACTCCGCTTTGTACTGGTGGCGAGCTGTTCGACGACTTAGTGAAGCGGAAGAGTTACACGGAGGAGGATGCGCGTGTGCTCATGCGTAAGCTCGCTAGTGCCATCGACTATCTTCACTCGCGTGGTATCGTGCATCGTGATCTCAAGCCTGAAAACATCTTGCTGAAGACATCAGCACCTGGTGCTGAAGTGATGATTGCTGACTTCGGCTTTGCTAAACCCATGAACGGCTCGCGTCGAGGTACTGCCTGTGGCACGCCGGGTTATGTCGCCCCTGAAGTGGTGCAAGGTGAGCCGTATGGAGCTGAAGTGGACTGTTGGAGCCTTGGCGTTATCCTGTTCATTCTGCTGTGTGGGTACCCTCCGTTTCCTGGTGCCAACCATGCGATGGTGCTTAACAAGGTCGTGAAGGCTGAGTACGAGTTTGAGTCACCTTATTGGGACAAGGTTTCTGATGAGGCCAAGGACTTAGTATCAGAGCTGCTGTCAGTGGATCGCACCAAGCGGCTCGATGCGCTGGGCATTTTGACACACCCATGGATGGATGAGACTCGTCCGTCTACCATTAGCTGTACTGATGGCAGCGAGCCCAGGAAGGGAATATCGCGCAAATGTTCGAACTTGTTGCCGGCGCTGCAGCAGATGCGCAAGCACAGTCTGACCCACGGCAGCCCCAAGATCCGTCCTTCGGACATGAACGTGGACGACGTTGAGCTGGATGAGCTGACGATGAACAGCGACAAGGAAATGCTTGAGCGCGAACTTGCAGACATGAGCAATTTTTGAAGTGAGGGTTATCATAGGAAGTATCCCGCTGCGACGGGAGAGCGAACTGCCGATGCGCGTTGTGATGTGAAGAGATGTAAATCCATCGAGATGTATATGCACGTAGCTTGGCTGACGCAGACGCTCACTGTGAGAGAGCGCTGGGCCAAAAAAAGGAGCTATGATTAGGATGCAAATGTGAAAGTTTTAAATGTCAAACAATTTCTTCGCGTACAAAGCTGCGTCGAAGAAAACTCTCCTGTGCTAAAGGGCAATGGAGTTAATGTCGATGTCGACTTGCATCGTAGTGCCCGGGTCACGAAACGTTTAAAAAGCTAGAACTTGTTCAGTGTATGCACATTGCAGTACAATGTCGGAAGCATGCCATTATTTGTTGCATGGGGCAGCAAAGTGCATCGTTTTTTATCGACCAGTTCACATCAAGAATCCGCTAGATTCAATTAGAGAAGAACAACGAAGCTAATTACTTACAAAAGCACGTCACCATTCCAAATCATTGATCCCGATGATAGTCCAATGACAAAAGACCATTTTCGGTAGTATGCTTCATTCCGTCTCCGCATGTCGGACTATTAACGTCTCGTTTGCCAAAAGAGGCGGTAACACCATCCTGGTCTTCTCTGCTTTTGATGTAGTCCCGGCTTTCGGCACTTAGGTAATGAATGCACATAGGGAGTCACGTCACATACACATGGCTGATGCTGAAGCGTTGCCAAATGAAATGTCGGTACACGACAGAGACAGTCACGAGGTACCAGATACCAACGATGAACGAGTACAAGGCTCTATGGTGCATGACACCCTATAGCGACTTGGAAAAGCCTTGCCATCAATGGAACAACTATCGAAGAAAGAGTAAGCGCGACCAAGCAGCATACTGGTACATCACATACGCGTTGATGACACATGTGAAGCTGCCAGTGGTTTAGCGTGTCCAAACTCAACTTGACGCAGCAAGAAGGAAACGACGTAAAATATGAAGGTAACAAACAGTAGTGGTGTGTGCGGGAACCGCATGCATGCCGTCGGGTGGAGGTGGTGGTATGCTTTGCAAGTGACTGTTATTAAAGTAGTAGCGACCAGAAAAGGTAGAGGAGAGCCGGACAGTCAAGACGATCAGTAGATGGCGTAGTGCTACTCCCAGGGTTGTTGAATCGAAAGTAGGATGACAGTGTACAAAGGCGAACATGCGGCGCAAGAACAGATCAAGAAGCGGGTGTAGCAGCCGAAGCAGATGTGTAAAAGATGACCAGATGTCGTAACAGGGTAACGTCATGTACGAAGCGCTTCCGGCGCTTAGCGATAGTTGGTATAAGCTCAACAACGAGCTCCGACAAGCCATTCGGTTGCAGATACAAGGAGAAGAAGAGTGTGTGATGACTGACAACGCCTCGTCGTCGGACACTCACCGTGTCAAAAGAGCTTACCTTACTGCTTCCAACCTGCTGCAAGATGATGGGGTGCCGCAAACCATGCGCTGAGATGGATAGATACCATGCGTGTGCGCTATTGCTAAGAAAACGGCGCCACTTGCACATACGTAGTCACGCCACTTGCACAAATACGTTCTCCCCCTGTCGGGACGCTGCAGCCTCGACGCATTCGCAGAGAAGACGTCGCAATAACAGCAGCTCGGAGTGCCTGCCGACCCACATAGCGAAGCGTCAGTGTGACGATACTACCAGCCAGCAACCTTCCGACCCCAAGTGCGTTGCACGATAGTCACACCTATAGCTCCCACACTTATCGCCCCATCCAACCCAGCTACGAGGTAAGCCGCATGTAGCGCATCCACTCAACTTCGATTCCGAGCGTCTTCACTGCAAATGTCAGGTCGGACACGCCGTGTACCTTCAATCCCTACTTGTTCCACCTGCACCCGCGCGACACCACTCTCCAGTTGCAACACGCAAGCACCAACCTCCATCGATCCGTCCATCTTCCTATTTCTGTCCAATTGAGCTCCCCATCCGTAATTCCCGTCCAGCGGTTTCCGAATTCGACTCCAACTCGACCGACCGACCCCGAATCGAAGCTTTTCAGTGGCTCGAGTCGCCCACTCGAGCCAAAGTCAATCGAGAGCATGACACACACACATCCCTCCGCTTTTCTCATTCGTCGTTTCTGTCGAGCGCGCCGACCTGGGGCAGCAGCACACAGCGACGTCCCTTTCGGTCGGACGAGCGCCGCCCCGAGCGAGTAGTTGCAAGCAATGGCGCCGCTCCCGTCGTGTGCATCCCAGCGAGATGCGGTCGTCGCGTGGCTCGAGCGCTCGGACAATTTCCTCCGCGTGGCGCCGCTCTTTGGGGCGTCGAGACGCCACCAGGGAAACGCAGGGACTGGATCTGACGCCGCAGCGGTCGGTAGACCTTTGGACGAGAGCCAGGCGCTCGCTGAGCTAGCAGCGTGGGTGAACCACGCGTCGCCCCGGTCCGGGTGGGACGCGACACTTGCCAAGCAGATGCTGCGGCACTTTTTCATGGAGTTCCGCGCCACGGCGGCCGAAGCTTCGAAGCCAGGCTTCACACTGAGTCGCACAGACGAGGTGTTTGGGATCCAGACGATCGAGGAGAAGCTGAACCATATGTGTCGGCACTTTGTGCGGCTTCAGCGGCTCTATGACCCGAAACGGACGAGTGACGTGGCGGAGAAGGAGAGGAAAAGAGACCGAGGAGCTGGAGGAGGAGGGGAGTTGAGGCAGAAAGGAACGTCGGTGAGCTCGATCCAGCAAATGGACAGGAGGGGTGGGCGTGGGGAGAGTAGACGCGAGAGAGACGCGGGTGGGAGTGACGTGAGGGAGAGTCAGATGAAGGACATGACGCGCAGTGGTGGGAAGACGCGAGCGGTTCTCGCGAAGCAGCAAATGAAGGATATGGATGCTTGTGGACAAGGTAAAAGGGTACGATCGCCTGAGTTGATTGAGATCATTTCTGACGAGGATGAGGAAGATGAGAAGCAGTTGGCGGTGTCAGTTATCGACACTACTGACAAGCGGAGGAAGCGGGTAAATAGGTTTGGGTCCGAAGAGTTTGCGAACAATGGTGAAGACGAGGTGCTGTCTGGGCAGAAGAAGAAACGCAAACGCGCGCAGGTAAGTGCAAGGAAACCTGCAGGATCGGAAGCGCGTCGAAGTGTGCTTCAATCGGAAGATGTAGCTACACAAGCCGAGGTGTACCAAACCTCGGCAACAAATGGAAGGAGTTTGGTCGTAGACCAGGGTCAAGTACGTTCGCGAAATCATGACGGGCTTGCTCTTCGATGTCCAGCGACCACTGGTGAACTCACTGGAGCAACGAGTGTGTCAAAATTCGTAGGATGTGGGCATGAATTGACGGAGAGCATCTCGTTGACCTCAGAACCTGGTCAGCCACTAGCCACACAGGAGGTGACGTCATGTCCGGCAATACCGCAGGACATGATGTCGACTTCACCTATCATCATGGCGCAAGATCTTGAAGCCCCTAGAAGCGTAGCATCAAGCTCGACATCATATCGAAGCACGGCACAAGTGTCAGCAGCTACCTCCGAATGCGATGCACAAGGTTTAAGAACATCAGAGCTGCCAGTGCATAATGCAAGTGGTCGGTCTGCATCATCACAATTGCAATGTCCGCCTGCTCTTCACTCAGCAATCGCAAAAATTGTGTCGCAGTGCCTGGATCTGCTCGATTTTCGATTCGATCGGTGCCCATCCAGGTTTTGCGATCGTGATACTTCTCCTAGAAAGGATGAGAACGAAGGCAAGGCTGCAAAAGACAACGCATGTGCAAAAGATAGTGACAGTCGACATAATGGTCTGTCCGCTTCCGACTTGTGTAGACGTCGTGGTGTCCAGGTCCCTCCAGCTACCACTGCAACGACTGCACAGAGTTCCGTCAAGTGCAACGACTATGACACATCGATGAAGTCGAAAACAACAAGTGCTGATTATCCGAAATCGTCAATGTGGATCGATGACCACATCCCTCTGCTGTTCGACCTGCCACATTGCGTCAGTGGAAATACTGACTTGGAGCGAAAACGCTCTTACTTGACCGCAAAGAAACTTGCTTTTGAGCGGTTCAAGTGGAAGCATGAGAAAGAATTGCAAGAGCAGGAAATGGAGGTGCTTCGAAGCGAGATGGAGATTCGTAAGGCCTGTGCTCAGGAAGAGATCGAATACCAGCAGATGAGTGTTCGGGCCGACGTGATTTACCGCATGATACTCGCAGGTGCCAGCATCGAGGACACCACCGAGCGATTAGCATGGCTATAACCGACGTCAACGTTGGAGCATCTACCCAGGCAAAGTGATTCCGATACTGGAGTTTGGAATGCGGGAATTTAATGGCGCACACTCTTGGTATTGAATATGAAACGATGAACGAGTTTAGTCGTCTAGAGCGAATAATCCACGCTCTACACCTTGTCCGTGGCCAGGTCAACGGCAAAAGTCGAGCGTCGGTGTTTACTGTAAACGACATGGGCGATGACTTAAACTTTGTGGCGACAGCAAAGCTTTTGGACGACGAACGGCATGCATGACTGCGGTCAAGGGGAAGAGGCCATGAGCGTGAAGGGGGGGGTGGTCGCTAAGAAAGTCTCGAGAACGTGGATATCGGAGGTGGAGGGATTGATTATACCAGGAAAGAGGCTGAGAATGCCACGAAAAGTAGTTGAAGCACCAATTGCGGAGTTTTCGACGAGCTGAGGCTCTTTGCAACCAGGTTTCGTCGATTACACTATTATTGTGAAGTGGCCAAGTGGAAGTGGCAGCAGACGTTGAGACGCGAGCGGCTGCAGCTCAAGCGAGAAGAGATTCAGTATAAAGAGAAACTGACAAAGCAGCAGCTGCAGGTGCAGGTGATGGAGCTACGAGCGAGACTTGGGAAAGCGCTGGATGAGGCTGGACAGTCTCCAGCTCAGGCAAAGAAGTACCTTGCATTACTGAAGCAAAAGGAGGAAAGAGAGCGCGGGATCGAGTGAGTGAGTGACTTTACTGCAATAGACAGACTTGATGCTTTAACGATCGTACTGTGTCGTGTATTTGCATGCCAATACCTCGCTCCTGCTGCTGCTGCTGCTGCTTCTCACATGCTCTTTGCCATGAAGTCCTCGTAACTCTGACCAAACAACCTCTGGACATCGCGCTGGATGTCGCTCTTGGATATCTTCCAGCCCGTTGCAAAAAGCTTCTCGTACATGTCCACCAACACTTCGCCAATCACGTCGCGCGAGTGGCTCCACTTGTAAATGAGCTGGTCTAGCACACGCGCGTCCGAGTGCTGGCTCGTGAACGCCGTGCCCAGGATCTCGATACGCATCCGAGTGAGCTCTTCAATGATCGACGGGTTGTTGCAGTACCACCAGCAGCCATATAGGTGCAAGTTCCGAAACTTGTTGGCCGCCACTGTCACTTCGTGCTGGTTCACACGCGAAAGGAACGTGGCTAGAAACTTTACTTTGGGAAAGTTGCGGCACAGCTTGATCAAAATGTCCACGTTGCTGGGCTTGACACCGTCGCCGGCCACACCATAGCGAGCGTTGATCGGACGCACGCTGTCAAACTTCAGCGCAATTGGCAGCTTCTTTTCTTCAGCTAGAGGCAGCAGCACTTGCAACAGCAACTCGGCACCATTTGGTTGCTCGTTCGCTCCAGAAGTCGGCGCGTTTTCGTCTGGGTACTCGAAGAAAATGGGCACGCTGGACATGAAGTACTCGGGCTTCATGATGTCGATCCACTTCTCCAGAAGCGCGCGTACACCCGCTAGTGTATGCGGTAGCATGAACACATCCAGCGTCGGACCGATGGACGTCCAGTCGCCAAGCAGGATCTGGTCCACGCGTAGAGCCGAACGGAAGTACTTGCGTGACCATGCAGGTGGTGGCGTGTTCGTGGCCGGATCGCCCAGCCAGTGCCGAGCCTCCTCCGGTTCAAATGGGATGTTTGTCATCACCGCATACTTGAGACCAGACAGGCGGAATACCGTGTCCACGTACTCCTCGGCATCCTGATGCTTGAACCATTCTTGGATAGCAGACAGATCGCGTTTCGCCACGAGATGGTCCAGACCCAACAAGTGCAGCGTTGTCAGGACTCCACGGCAAGCCTCCGATACCGGAGAGCGGTCCACGAACAGGTGCTGCCAGATGAGACAAGCTTGCTGTTCTTTTGGGCACGAGTTGAACTCTTCCACTTGCATGGGCGCCGTCTGTAGGAACTCGGCCACGAGGTAGTGGTAGGTCAACAGCTCGTTGATGCCCCAGAGCATGAGTTTGCCGTGGCTAGGAGGGAACAGGTGCGTGTGCACGTCAATGATTTGGACGCTGGCAACGGCCTCGCGCACAAATGTCCCAACCTCGTCCTTCGTAGCGAGGTACTCACTAGTGTGGTGATTGCGAAGCACGTCCTCGAGGGTTTCGAGAGCAGTTTGCTTGCCGGACACGAGCCGCTGGTACAGCGCGGCAACATCAGCAGCGAATGAAGCGTATACGTCGTTCGTAAGATCAAATCCCTCGACTGAGTTTAGTACACTGGCAACAGCCACGCCAACACCGCTGGAAACCTCGGAGGAAGACTCTGCGCGAGCAGACTTGCGAAAGTCACAGCTACTGCTCTTGCTAGCTTCAAGCACATGCTGACCGGCTCGCCATAGACTCTTCGCCGTGTTGCCCTCCTTACCATCCATAAACTCGTACTTGCCCGTGGAGATGTTTGCGCTCAATCCGTTAGCGTACACCCACGTTCTCTCAGTGGTGGAGTAAACAGGCGTGCAATTTCGGATTGAGTCCATGCTGCCAACAAAAATGTTTGGGCCAGAGTCATTCTCCTTTCTCGAGTCCGCTTGCGTCGGAGTCAAGAATCGTAGAATTAAAGCAGTGGCAAATGCCATGAACACGCTCGGATGGTACGTCGGATCCATCGATACGTTGGCCTTTACAGAACTAAACAGCCGTACGCCATACTTTAGCATAGCGTTCTGGCCAACCCAGAAAACGTCCAAGCCAAAGTGTCGGTGCTCCAAGCGACCCATCCACTCGTCGTATGCATACTGAGCCTTCTCCTTGCTGATACCGCGCAGCACAAGTGATGGAGCTATATCCTTGGCGAACAACAGATCCAAGAATTGACGAATCTCCGGATATTTCAATACGTCACTCGTGGTCTTCACACGTGTCAGTGCTAGAAGATACACCATTGCCGTATGCACAGCATTTGCAATACTAAGCTTAATCAGGTGATCTTGGTCCAATAGGCCTGCAGTTGTATGGATATGCACACCCGGCAATGCACTTAGGGCCTTGACATCCAGCACACGCTGAAGATCTTCAATTACCAGTGTCTTGGTCGGCCAGGGCTCCGACAGCGGCACCAATGAGTTTCCCGGCCGGTGAGACGTCAGGCGGTCTACCATCGTGTTATGAAAGTGCACCTTGGACGATAGGTACACCCGAAACGAAGAGACGTCGCTTGGCTGGCCTTTCCATTCCGTCTCTAGTACCAGCTTCTTGATGAGGTCTCCATTTTTTGGCAAGTTGTCCGTGTTGATCACCGAGATGACGTTGTCTAAACTCATCACAAAACACAAAGACACAAACACACACATATGCAAGTGTCAGCTTCTTCTGAGTGTAATACGTGCTTTTGACAAGGTTTGTCATCCTGACTGGGTCGCATCTGGAAGCAGTTATATAGCAGCTCTGTAAGGTCGACAATGGCAGACCCTCCCTTCACGATGCCACTCTCGGTCACTCCAAAGCCAATGTACTTGAGCGTGGGCAACTTGGCTGGAAGCTGCATAAAAGTCGTGCGGTCTTCGATTTCTCCCAAAGAACCAACAGCTTCCACGTCAACGACTTCAGTCTGTACCCTGCCATCTTTCTGAATCACGTCGACCTCGTACGTCCCCTCGGCCTTGGCGCAAGCCGCTGCAAAGCTAGTTCCACGCGTCTGAGCCACCACAACGGCGCTACAGGCTGCTCGGATCGTTGGCACGAACACAGATCGCTGCAAAGGTTTTAGATCATGGACCATAGGGAAGTTCAGTGGGGTGCTGCAAGTGGGTTCACGGACATTTCATGTAATCTCGAATACTCACGAGGAAGCGACCGCTGCCAATGCAGATGGTGTCGGTCTTGTCCGAGAACTTCGACTGGCCTCGCAGTGGCTGGAACATCTCGGCGGAGATGCGTTCAGCTTTTGTGGGCTTTATCCTTCACTTGAGACGTTTGTGGCTAAATGAAGACTGACGACGATTTACTTGAGTTGGATCGGTCGGTATCTCCTCGGTTACAGTTGATACAAAATGATAGAATAGCGAGTTTATTGTCAGTGGGTAGATAGTCTGCGGTAATGGCTCGCTTTCTTGGTTGGGTCTGTTGGGACTCGAACCTTTTTGTCGAGCTCCTGATTTCCAGTTATAAAAGGTGCCAGTGGCAAAAGAAGGTAGGGGAGCAAGCTCTGGAGCTCGCCCTTTGAAATAAAGTAAATTGGTCCATAGAAATAATTTAGGAAGTTTTTAGTAATGTTCTATTTCTAGTAGTTAGCGACTAGGAAACGGATTGTTTGGGTGTTGTGTGCTGCAAATTAAGATGTCGATAGATCTTTGTGCGTTAAAGGTACTTGGCGATGTTCAGATGAAAGAATGCTTGAATAGGTAGACAAAGGATGATCCTGCTCGGTTACGCCTTCCACCACAAAATGCAAAACGACATTTCATTTATCCACTGGAAAGAGAAATGATGGGAAGGAGCTTCCCCTACTACCGAAGAAAAACGAGACCACAATCTCTCACTATAAATTCAGATCAAGTGATCAAATCAAAACCACTTTACACCTAATGTTTGCGAAAGGTGCGAGACTTTCGCTGCCATAGAGTGTCAGGTATTTACTTGAAGTCTCTTTCTTCGCCCTTCATCAGATTTTAGTCAATCACGTGCGGGCATTGGTACGTGTGCGAAGATGCACACTCCAAAGCCGCGATTTTAGTGACCAAATCAAGGAGTGACACCGAGGGATCAGGCTGCATCGCACTTAGTGCGACATGTAAAGTACACCTGCGTTCTTTACACGGACACAGACAGACATGTACAATTGACAAAGTTCGGTATTCACTACGCGCGGGCTCGCAATTACTGTTGTACGAGCTAAAACGGCTACCGTTCGAGGTGATAATGAAGTAAAATTTGTCGATATGGGTGACGGTGCAGTTTCGCAAGATTTGACTGCGGTTGTGCTGGAATTGTCCAAGATCAGACTTTGACGTTGTAAAGCTGCGGGGAAAGCGAAGGTATACCACATCCAGACGATAAATATCCAAATAAACAAATACACGGTGACGCAAAATTGAGACCGGGCTTTATAAGCGTAACAAGTAGATGCGCTCTACTCTTCACGATCGAAGGGTAATACAGAGTATTAAACGACAGATACATGGACCTCAAAGTTCGCTTACCGGAAAATCGTGATAGGCAGCATAAAACAGTGGGTGTGCAACACAAGTAAGACACACCTCACACATCATGTCTCCCGGACAAATGTCATATTTTACCATTGAAATGTGAGTCCTTCTGCGTTGCAATCTCTTTCGAATAATTTCAGCTAGAATAAAACAGATGCTTTTGCGCAATGAAATTCAAAGAACAAGTACGAATCGTAGAAATTACGATGCTATTCTTTGAAATTGTAGAAAAAGTTATGCAACCTTTTAACTATTTTGCATACCCCATGATGAACTGTGATTCTGATAAGTTTGCACGGAAAATTTATTCTGGTAGAGTCACCTTATCTTAATTCGTAGAAAAATCTCAATTTTGTCGCCACGTAACATGTAAGGGCGGGGTGTAACGGGGCACCCTGAAGCTTGTACTGGTGACAGTACAAGCTACTTATTCTGATGACAGAATAAGGCGGTGCCTCGGAACTTCACGTACACTCGTACGTGCAGAGGAAGACGGTAAGAAGAAGCGAGTACTTGGTTAAAGTAAAAAGTAGAACTGTATTTATCATAGTTAATGTCTGTAATAAACCCCCCTGTTTATCCTCATCTAACTATGTCTAAATACAAATGTGTAAATCAGTTATCTGCTCACTACTCATTGCGTTCGTCTGTCGTGGCGCGTCTTCGTTGGTTGATATAATAGCCTATATCAACCAATTAGGAACTACTCGTAAGTGCTACAGAATATTTGTCCTTAGGACAATATTCTGAGAATATAACTCTTATAGTTATATTCTATTAACAATTTCTTATAAATTGTTATGTAACGATTCACCCCGTTACATCACCCCCCCTTAACCATCAGTCACTTTAGTGACTGATTGACTAAATGGATACTCGTCCCAAATCATTTAGGACAGGGTTTGCACTTGTTGGTCCGCGTCCACTTTCCAACATCTCATCGCATGGTTAGCAAGCCCATGCGATGCGCGAGCAAGGCCGCCGAGAGCGCGTCTGCACGTCTCTGTGCGGACGCCGAAGCAGAAACAACAGCAACTGATGTCTCATAGGTTGCTGAAGCGACTCAGCCTGTGTCACTTGGTGATGCAAGCGCTGGTCATGAAGACACTCGTGTCTTCACAGAGTACGAGCTCGGTGTCTCGTACTCTCCTGATACGGATGACGGATCCGTATCGACGGCGATTGAATCCAAGCCGCCTGCCAAGCATGGCATGGACGATGCTTTGCGTCGCAGCATCTTTGGTTCATCTGATTCATCAGATGAACCATCGCCGAAGCGAAGGCGCTCGAGGTCGCGAGACTCGGGCGCTAATAGTGGTGTCGGTTCTCCTACGGACACCACTTCACAGCGAGGTGCCAGTACTTCTGTCGGCACGTCGCAGGAAGAGCGGGACCGCAATGTGTTGCGTCTCGCTCCCGAGAAGAAGGCATGGATGCCTCCAAAATCCGTCAAGGATCACTTGTCGGCGACGACGAGTGATCGCTATCGAACACGATTGTTCGATTCGTCAAGGATCCATCACCTTGACCCCAGCGCGAAAAACTATCGCGCTGAGAATGATTTCTTCATCGATGCTTTCTTCAAACATCGATGGTACAGTGGGAATCACAAACGTGATGGTCCCTCACTACTTCAGGCGTAGAACGCCTACATCCATATCCTCGAGGATGTAGGTCGTGACGCTTGGAACGACAAACTTATCAAAGCTCGTGATAAGTTTGAAAAGCGAACCCCGACAGGTGCACGCTACAAGCTGCATCGTCTGTCAAGGGAGAAAGGATTACCCTGCCTCTCTTAGGGAGACCTGTGCCCATGTTGTGTGAACAACTCTGCACGAGCACCTAAGGAGGCTTACCTCCTTACTAGCCCGTGGTGGCGCGTACGTATCTCTAGTGAGATGTACGAAGGGATTGACAACCTGAAATCCCTTTACGACCGTGCCGGGAAGACTTTCTCCGGCGGTCCTTCTGCGGCACAGGATGTGCCGCGTCGTACTGATCAACCAGACCCAGTACATCGATCATCAGTTGGGAGCGGGGCTCCCAAGTATCCCAGGACGGGGGATAGCCGCGCCACCGGACGAGATAACTCGTCCGACGTCCGTTCACGTCGCGGTGGTTCAACAGCTGCTCAATTAAATAGCTCTGGCCACCGCGAGAGTCCTCTAATGGAGGTGGAGAAGGAGGAAAGACGCTCTCCACACGATCATGTGGATCGGTGTGTTCCCGAGAGCTTCTTTGATCGCGTAACGCAAGGGTTACGCGACGATCTCGAGCATGAGCGGAATAGGCGTCTCCAAATGGCGGACACTGCCTCGAAGCATCGAGCTGAGTTTGCCTTTGCTCAGCTCGAGAACGAGAGATCTCTGACATCTCTTCGTGACGAGCTAAGGGTAGCTCGTGGGATTGTTGATCGGTCTCGGGCTGAGATAAATGCTCTTCAGACCCTTGTCGATGCCCACCATCGGGAGCACAAGGCTCTCTGCGAGATGCTTGAGCACAAGGGCGTTCTTCATCGGAAGAAGCAGCGTACTGATGGTACGGCTTAAGCCGACCAACGTAAAACGTGGGATGCGTTCGCATCTTACGTGGCAACTCGATCGTGTATGCATTGCCTAGGCGGTGCAATACACGAAATTGGCCAATGTACTTGGGTAGTAGTTTACTGCTACCCAAGTTAGTCACTACATGCTTTGGTACATTAACCGTAGACAGTAGGACTAAGTCACCTTTACTAAATAAAAGAGTGTTTGCCCTTCCATTCTTGTCAGCGTTTTGCTTTTGGTTATCCACCGCTTCGGCGATGATATCTTGCACATAACGGACTACCGTTTCACGAGCCAGTACGAACTCATCTGCTGACTCGTTAGCTTCAGTGCGCTGTGAGCGCACTGCAGCAACATCCATCTTTTCTTCAGTGAGGGCTTCCGCACTCTCACTGGCATCATCTTCTTCGACATCGATGTTATCGATATCGGCATTAAACGCAATGACCTCTTCGTCAGAGCGTGATGAGTGTGAACCAAATTGGTTTTTGCTCGCGCGAGTCCCTCCCCCCTTAAACCAGAGTTACACTCTAGTAAGGTGGGTACACGCGGATGGCGCAAGCCGTTCACGTAAACGGTGTATGTGTCGTGGACGCATGCACCGAGTTGTTGATGGCAAACTCTACCATTGGCAAAAACTCACTCCAACTCCTAAAGGAGTGTACGTATCCTCGAAGTATCTCTTCAAGGACACGATTGGCACGTTCCGTCTGACCATCGGACTCTGGATGATCAGATGTCGACATCTTCGAGCGCGTTCCGAGTGATTTGAACACGGAACGCCAGAAATCAGCAGTGAAGCGTGGATCTCTGTCTGATACGAGTTCACGGGGCAACCCATGAAGTCGGAAGATGGTGTCAATAAAGACACAAGCACAGCCACTTGCCGTGATTGTCTCTGGTACAGCCACAAGGTGTACCATTTTGCTGAATCTGTCAACAAAAACGAGAATACCCGTATTCCCGCGTGCGTCTTTGGGTAACCCGAAGACGAAATCCATTGAGATGGATTCCCAGCACTCAGCCGGAACCGGTAGAGGCTGAAAAAGGTGCACGCAGTGAAGGACTTGACTTCACTCGTTGACAGACTTCGCATGCGCGAACATACTTTCGCACAAACTGATACTGGCGGGGCCAGTAAAAGTCTCGACTTACCGTGAGATATGTTTT